CCATGTTATTGGATGTAGTGCTGTCTTACTTGTTTTCTGCTTTTTCTTCAGCTGCAGTGCTCTGAAATTTCCTGGTCACCTGAGTAAAACAGGTTTATGTTTCTAAATAAACAATCAAACCAACAAGTAGGCCTATGATGCTTGATCTTAAAGCCTGAGATATGACCTCTGAGATATTTCCAGGTATTTCCAGTGCCAGATAACAGGTTTAACAAACTCCACTCAAAACAGATTAAATGTTTCCCTTTACTTTACTTTTAAAAGCTTAACAAACAAACAAACAAACAAACAAAAAAGATACAAAAGATACACTGTCACAGATAAATATAGTTGTAATAAGTAATCAATCAATCAAGTAATCAACTACACTTATCTTTTAATACCTAAATCAGTTTTTGAACTACACCTCTGGAGTCTTTACATTATGTACATTTGTAATATAATTTTGTAGATTGTTGGTCAGTTGAAACACTGGAGCTCTTGCACTAAAGTGACCTGGTGTCCCACTTTATGTGGCATTTATAATTCCTTGTTCGATCCCAGGGTGCCCTCTGACCACCACCAGTAGGCAAACATGGGGTTAGTATCTTGCCCAAGGATATTTGGCATGCAGCCAGGAGGGAGCCTGGGATCGAACCCTCGACCTTCTGATTAGTGGCTGACCTGCTCTGCCATCTGAGCTACAGCCACCCTCACGCATATGAGAGAAAATCTGCTCACGCAGATATGTAGAGCCAAATACTGTCAATAAGGCCTCTGCAATGTTCTGAAGACAGTTAACCTTGTCAGGTAGTGATGTCCAGCAGGTGAAAATGCAAGCTCCATGAACACGCACAGCTGTGGATTCCAACTGCATCTGTAGTTCTGCAAACTTTGACCCCGACAGAGTCGAGGTTTTCAGTTCAATCAGCTGCATTTCGATGTCCTCTGTGTCCAGCCAGTTAAAGAGAGAAAAAATCCAGCTGCTCATTAAAACTTTCTGGTAAGAAAAGAAAAGAAAACTGGTCCATACACCTGAAAGTCCCGAAAACACATTGTGAATTCTGTCTACGGATGTATCCATGTACAGAGGCTTGCAAAAGTATTCGGCCCCCTTGAACTTTCCCACATTTTGTCACATTACAGCCACAAA